AGAACAGCTTTAGGCCTTGTATGTTATTATGGCAAGTTTATCAATATCACTGATTAGTGAAAGCACAAGATGAATTGCTTGCCAGTAAATCATACCTATTTGTTTTAGTGAAACAGATAGCACTATTCTTACCACCATGTTTATATTAATAGAGGTGACAGAACCTTTACCTGGGAGATCCTGCTGTCTCTCTCCTGCCTTTTCCTAAATAATAAAAATCATGAGAAAGGGCAATTTAACTATCGCTTAAGCTACAGGAGGATGATAGAAGGTTTTGGGAGCTGAGGGCAGATGAGACTGCTCTGTAAGTAGGCTACCAGCTGCTGGGCAGTACCTGTCCTTTTCACATAATTGCATGCTACAGTTTGTACATCTAAGAGAGTGCAAAAGAGAGCAGAGAAATGAAGAGAAACTCTCCAAAATCACTTGTGCTCTAGACACTAGATCAGAGACACCTTTTGTACCTTATATGGAGAATAAATAACAACAGTCATTATTTGATAATCAATTTAAAATTAATTTAAATTAAACTTTAGGGGCTGATTCTTCCCCCCCCCCCCCCCGCCCCCTTTTTTTTTTGTGTGTAACATTTTCTTGTGTATTTCATTAACATTTAATAGATGACTTCTTAAAGAGTTCACAGACTATTTTGTGAATGTTTCAGGGGTATTGAACAAAGACCTTTTAAAGTGGGGGAAACACTGCTTTCATTGTGTGCACGGTGTGGTTATGTTCCCACTGTTATCCCATTTTATTTTAAACTTAGTCTATTGAGCCATGAAAAATCTTAAGTATGAGAAATGTACTTTTCTTTTGTGTAGCTAGCATTATGAGACTCATAAAAAACATATCTCAGATGAATAAAGCAAATCTTTATTTTTGAGAAATACAAGTAAGAAGATATAACTATTGAACTACTGCTTCAACAAACTGTGCAAAATTACATGTTGCAACAGATGTTGCAACATGTGGCTTTGTTTCAGTGGGTGGAAATGAAACCAGGCTTCCTACGTCTGTGCTCTGCATCCACAGCTCCACATCTGCACTAACCCCACACCTCATCCTGCAGTCACCCTTCCCACACACACATCACATCACAGCGATGTCCTGCAGTCTCCCCTAGATCCCTTATGTGCTGTATTGTTTCTTCTCCTCTGTGCCCAAGTATTTCCAACTGCAGTAAACCTTTCCTCTGTGTACATGTAAGAAGCGATGAAAGCCACCAAGGGTCTGGAGATGCTCTCTCCTCTGTCTATGCATAAGAAGCACCACATGACATCGAGGGTTTGGAGATGATGGAGATGGGCATCCCCAGCCAGCCAGGGCCCTTTGGCTGAGGGGAGAGCCACAAGGAGAAGCTGTGGGCTGAGCTCTCCCTGTCTCTGCCTCAGCACATTTGTCTTTGATCCAGTCACACATTTTCCCAAAGCTTCTTGGAGCATCGTATACCCAATGTGCATTGTCAAATGTGGCCGAAAATCTCTCATCACTTCAAGAGTTGTTGGAGGACAAAGAGACAAACAAATACACAGAAAGCTTTCTTGTATATACTTCATTTCTGAAGGAAACCAACCAAGTTTATGGTAAGAAAGAAATAGCAAGGTACAACTGTTTTAGATGATTAATTGAGAGAAACACTTAAGGAAAAGCTTGCAGCCTTAAAGCTTCATGTTGTCATAAATTATTCTCCTGCTGTTCCCCACCTTGCAGTTCCTGCATGGTGAAATCCATTTCATATCTCCTGAGGACAGGCACAAAGAACACAGTGGCAGCAACAGTGTTTTGAAACAAGTGCTCAGAGCATGAGGGGTTAACGTTATCTTCAGCCTCCCACCTCACTGCTCACTCTGGCTATGCATTTCTTATGCAGAGCTGATTTACAGCTGCTCTGCTAAGTTTTATCCTGGGAAAAAGCCTCAAAAATATGTTTCTGCTACAGAAATTCTCCTCTTTGTAATTGGGGAAGAAAAAGCCTATAAAATGTGCTATAACGCTCTATGATACAGCACTTCAAAATGTACTTCATTACGTATCGTGAAAGCTGGAACTTCAAAACCCATTGATTAAAATGACAGCATTTCTGTACCCTATTACTTAGGATATAGTAATTAACACTATTCTTAGTTTGCACTGTGCACAGTAAGTACACTTCTATTAATATTTTTTGGGGGGGTGGAGGGTAAGGGGACAGTGTTAATCATTTTGCTTTTTATTTTTTGCATCAGAAGGCAGGAGCTGGCAGTCACCATTTTAAGAGTGCTATGGGAAGATAAGTTTCCTGACAGGAGAAGCCAAAGAGGAGGGGTGGAAAGAAAACAAACATAAAGCAAACAAACAAAAAAACAACAATAAACTTGTCAGATAGCAGATGGGAAAGGGGGAATAGGTAGGAATGGATAGCTGAGAGGCAGTGAAGTACTACAGTCTTGAGTTGTTTTTTTTCAGCAGTGTATCTGGGGTGGAACAGGGAAGACAGTTGTCCTTCTGAACATGTAGGGGAAAAGGTTATCAGCATGGAGGAAGAGAAAAGAGTTTTTGCAGATATATACAAATACCTGTTTGATAGTCAGATTGGAAGCAGGGAATTTTAAATATATATAACAAGCAGTGAATCTGAACAGCTTCTTCTCTGCCACAGTCACTGCATTCAGCACAAGAGGAAAGGTTAAAAACTCAAATAGCTACAAAATCTCCAGCAGATACATGGAAGAAAACAGACAAAACAAAACAACAAAACAACAACAGAACAACAACAACAACAACAGGTCCTGAAGGTATACAAAAACATTTAATATTGGTTGTATCTAATAGGAGCAAAAGAAAAGTTAAAAGTCAGAAAAAATCTAGAAAAAAATAAAAATAAAAAGTCCAGATCACATTGCTTCTGCTAATAAGCTGACTATGCAATTAGCTGACAGGGTTTGAACAAGGGGTATAAAGAGGTTCATGCTAGTCCCTTGTTGCAGTTAAGAATGGCAGAAAACCCCAACCCTGACCCACATATCAGCTATCTGAAACATTATACTTGTTGTCTTATTTCATTGCAAAGCAGACTGAACCTTCACCTTTCCACTTCCAGAAGTTGCCTGTCCTAATCGAGGCAGATGATAGTCTTGTGCCAGAGCACAGCTATATTAATGAGGATAGCACCAATGAGACCTCTGGGTTGCATTTGTCACCAGCCAGGGGCTCGCCCCAGCTGCATGCCAGTGTTTAACCAGGAAGCAGCATCCGATGGGAAGAGGCAAGGGCAGGGACAGGCACGTGAGGCTGTCCCCTGCAAGAGCACTTGGCAGCTCTCCAGGGCAGCATGCAGTCCAGCTGCACCCAACGGATATTAGCGTGTTTTCACTTAATGCACTCTGAATCCACTACAGTTTCAAAAGGAGCACAGAATATATTGTATCTCAGCAGTTAATGCACAATAAGATTTGTGCTGTATGAATGCAGGTCACCTCGATGTGCAGAAACCAGGCTTAGAGAGGATGTGAATGGAGTCCCGGCTCCCCCGTGTAAACAAGTTCTTAATCTCTCTAGGATCTACCTGAGAAAGGAATTAGGATGCTGATCCTCAATTTTGTCAGTCTCCTCTGCATCAACGTTTGGTGTTTATAGAAGCACTGAGCTGGTTACATAATTTTTCACATTATTCTCCCAGACTGCCCAATGTATGAAGTCGGTGTTTAATTGAAATCTCTATTTGCATGCTTCACATTGCTTAAAATATTCTGGTGGAATGTCAGACAAGGTTAATTGAGGACTCAGTTGATGGTGGTGTTATTGTAATTTGAACCTGGAGAAATCCCATATTAATTCTGGGAGGATTCTGTAAGATTTGTTTTTCCCATTTAGGATTTATCTTTGCATTGTGAATTAGTTTGCAGTTTAAATTCAAACTGATTTTCACTACACTGAAATTCATAATATTCTAATGAATTATAGACATTCTATTTTCCTAGAAATAGGATGATACCACTGTATTTAAAAATTATTCTTCAGATTCTACAACATTTGAGACTGTGCTATAGATGTTGTTGATTGTTCTGATTTGAGGTGTTTTCATTTCCTCTTGTGTATATTCAGGAAATTATTTCTTAGGTTTGGCTGAAACTGGCTTAGTTACTGTTCTTGGCTGTTTCTTCACTATGACTGGAGCTGTATATTTATCTTTGGAAAAGTGGCTGAAAGAGTAGTTTTTTACCTACCAATGATGTTGTTTAGGGGTCTTTTCTGTTCTATTTCCCCTTCTGTTTTTCAGCTGAAATCTCATCTCTGTGAGTACAAGCATTTGTCCCCATTTAAAATACAGAATATGGCAATGGTACTGATAATATTATAATAAGCTAAGAGAAAGGCATCTTTGTTAAAGGATTCCTTCCTTCCTTCCTTCCTTCCTTCCTTCCTTGCTTCCTTCCTCCCTCCCTCCCTCCCTCCTTCACTTTCTCCCTACCTCCCTCCCTTTTTTAATATTTTTTTACAGATTTTTATTTTTAACTCAATAAACTGGCCTTTCAGTTTTATTCCTCTGCACACCTGTACTTGAGTCATGCACAGAGAAGAAGTGACACGTTGTATTGTACAATGATCAAGTAACCATTCTCCTTCTGCACAGCCATTACTCTTGTTTCAGTGCAGAGGATACTCATTATCCAGTATGTGAAATTACAATGGGAGGAAAGAGTGAACATCTCAAACTGGGAAGTAATTACCATGTACCATAAATTATATGGTTATGTTTGTCTTTAAAAAGTGTTGTGGGAGTCTTTTTTCTTTTTTCTTTTCTTGCCCCCCCCCCCTTTTTTTTTTTTAACTTCAGAGCTTTAAGATGCTGTGAATTTTAACACCATAATCCTTTTCTATCTTAATATCATAGTTTCATATCATTGTAGGCTATCACTATTGCAGCAACACATTACATCATGTAACTAAACACATGTTCATGGCTATATGTTCATTGGCCACTTAGAGAAAACAAATTGGCCAATTAGAGAAAACAAAACTGTGCATAATGAAAATTTTTATTTCTTTACAAAATATCAGATGTATTTCACCTTCCAAGAAAAGCTCAAATGCTGTTCTGAATAGTACTGAAAATTGGAATGACTCAACAGTATGGGAGGAGCACGGTGCTTGGAGGTAAAAATGACATACAAGGCCACCATTTAATGGGAATCTTACTTTTGTGTTTGTCTTAAGAAAAGGCTAAAGGTTAGAATCTTATGACATCCACTGTACAAGCTCATAGAAAAGACATGAAGTCTTTTCTTAATTGAAGTCTTCTTAATTTTTCTTGTTTTAAAAAAACATCCAGCTAAACTGTCCAATGAAAAGGAAAAGGACCGGTCCTCATGACATATGAATATGAATTTTTGGACTTTCCTGACAACTCGACAAATGATTTCACCATTTTAAACAGCTTATCAGCAGTTAAGAATCTGGTCCAAAATTTTTGAGTCATAAAGGGGAAAATGTCATTAACATAGGTTTATTTTCATTCATTTTCATGTGGCTAGAATGTGCTGACAAAGGATACATAAGCAAGGAAGAGACTTTTTATTTTTGTTGAGCTCCTTGAAGTCAATCTTTTCTCCAAAAAGTTTCACAGCCATTTGTGTTTTGTTGCATTAGGAAAAAGCAAGCTTGGAGCACTCAAATGCCCATGTACCACAGTCCTGTTGATATTAACTGCAGATCACTCTGGAACAATAGTAGCCAGGAGCAAGAGAAGCCGTTGTGAGGGGCAGGTGTCCATATGGATTGTTCTGCTCTTTATGAATATGCAGGATCTTTCCCTGCAGATTTTCAAGCTGCTTCTTATCCTTTTTCCTTTAGATGAAAACTTATGGTTGTCTTTCTCTTCTGGTCCTCTCCCTGAGGTGTTATAGCAAGAAGAGGTGATTTGTCCGTGGGTTATTAGAGCAGACACCACATACACTAGAAATTCCCAGTGTATAAATAATGTCCTTGCTAATTAATTTATTTATGTTTGAGTCTCTCTTCCTGTCCTGTTACTGGCACTTGTGATTATTAGAACAGAAAGCCCAGGTCCATCCCCAGTCTTTGTCAGATGGCCGCATCTTGTGTCATCTAGTGGGCTGTTCTGTACTCTGTCCCTGGAATGAAAATTAGCTGCTTGGCAAAAAGCAACAACAGAGGAAGAATAGAAATTACGAAGTTTGTAACACCACTTTTTGAAGAGAAAATTGCTGTCATGATATGTCTAAAGCTTAATAGGGAAGTCATGCATAATAGCAAATGGACAGCTGGCTCAGTGAAATGAGTTCCCACCATTCTTGCAAAAGGTGGGTTAGGTTGGTTATGACAACAGCACATACATTCACATCATATGAGAATTTTGTTAGAAGAAGTAAATAGTAGTTTTGCTCTTTCATTGCTTCTACTACATTGCCTAAGTGGTGCCATGTAGATTTAAACTTGTTGCAAATGTCTGGTCTGGAATTTCACTCTCCCAAGGTGAGCTGCTCACTGACAGGAAACTGATGGAGCATGTAAAGCCATCTCTTTTGGCCTCACAAATGGGAGAAATTAATGTAGAAGAATTAGGCTGAAATTTCATCCCACCACCACACTGAAAGTCACACTAAAAGAAGTTGCCCTGACATACACAAGAGTATGTTGCAGCACAGCTCATGGTATAATTGCAGAGTCCTCTTGTCCTTCACCAGACTGTTCCCAGACATGCCTGAGTGGTAAGGAGATGAGATGTTCACTGTGAGATAGGATGTCGTAAACAAGATACTTTAAAAAATGGTGTTACTTGTCTGACCATTGTTACCCCCGATAGCAACTGTCACTATATAAATTTCCAGTAACTACAAGAAATATAACTAGATCCATCCCAAAAGATGTTCTGTGGCAGAGTCTTGCCTAGGTGAAGAAAGCAAAAATAAATGTTTATCAAGGAGTTCTGCTTGCTAGAGTATCGTCAGCCTGGCTCCTAATGGAAAGTTACATTTTTTCAGAACAATCTATAGATGCTATCTCACAGCTGTCACAGGGAAATTACCTTCACAGAGGTAGAAGACACAGAATGTGGAAGTGTTCCTGAATCGAGGAGTACCTCGGTGGTGTTAGGCTATTTCTCATTTCCATTCAGAAAAAAAATAATAAAAATAAAATAAAAATAATTTTTAAAAATTGCAGTGAGGAAAGATTTGACACTATTCTTTAAGATAACATGAAAACCACATCAATTCTGGACTGTAATATTCTTATTCTACCCAAAAGTAATTTGCTCTCTATGCATGAGCACTCTGCTATTTTGTTTTCTGCATCTCCAGAAGTATATTTTGTTTCCCACTCAACAGAAAGTCAGTGTGAAAGGAAATATAAAAATTACTTCTAGTTCTGTATGGTAACTATGCAGAGCACCTGACATACAATTCAGAAGTCTGAGAGAGAAGAAAGAAGTCTTCTCATTTTATATTATTTATTTTTTTTTTCCCTGAACACTGTCTATTATGCTGAGGGCTATGAAAATAATCAATAAACTGAAGAGATGAACAACAATAGTCACCACATAAAAGTTTAGACAAATCTTATTGATGAAAAAGTTAAGCAGTCAGCCTAAAGAAAATACAAGGAAGCTGTTAATTATTTTCTCTTGACTTTCTGTGAGTGATAAACAGAATGATATAAGGAGAACGGGATTTGGGAGTTTGTTTTGTTTGGTTTTGTTTTCCCAGAGGTTGGACATGTGCAAGAAGAAACTATGGCCTAGAATTAAGAAGGCAAAAATGAGAACTACCAAGTGGAAAGAATTATGTGACAGTGAAGTCTGTTCAACAAGTAAAAGAATGCCTACTTATGGAAGGTGAGATTGCACACGAAACTAGGAGGGATTCCATACAAAACCCTGCACAAATCAGATGTCTTGGTCTGCATTTGATCCTTATTAATCTAAAAAAGCAAGATGTTTTATCCACCTTAAATGGTAATATAGAGGTTAAACTGATGTTCAGTGCAATATATACTCTCCAGAATTGGAAAACTCTCGGTTGCTGACGAATCCAGACGTGGAGAAGGACTTCGGTTTTGGTTTCTAGAAGTAAAAGGACAATTCCTCTTATACAAAGGGTCTCAGAAGCTGTTTTAGTAGAAGCTGTAAAGGCAAGAAGAGGACTGTGTGCTAAACTGATGGCTAAAGCTTGATGCAACGTAATGAAGTAGACAGTAGCATGCTATCACTGCATTGCTTACTAATTTGCATGTTATATTAGAAAGCTACACAAGTTTTGACAAGCAGCAATCCAATTCTTGCACCCCTAATTCTTCAGGTTACTTACCAGTGCTGCCAACATTGGATTCATGATTCACAATTATTTTTTATTTATTTTTTATTTATTTTTTTTTTTTTAAAAAAAAGGACAGTCTGTTCTCGCTTTGGGAAAGGGGAAAAACATTTGCTTCTTTCTTCCCTCCCTTTCCCTACAGCTTTTTCAGCTAATTCTGTCTGGACACTGCCCAATACAAAGCTATAACATCAGCACCTAGGCCTCCCTGTGGCTATTTCCTTGTGGGGAAGTCATACCAAAGCCATACCTGCAGTAAAATTCACAGAGCAAATTGAGCTTTCATATCAGCCACCCACATCTTAGCAATTCTGTGCTGAGAAATGATAGACAGTGCTACACTGTTACTGGGGCGAGTAGGGAGAGGAGAGAGAGGCTTGTTTAATTATCCTACTTCAGCTTGATTGCTATAGTGTTATCTTAAAAGTGCAAAGATTCGGCAAATAGATTTCTGGTAATTAGTGTTCAGAATGTTGTAATGCTAGCACCCTGGATCTTACACTGTGGATTTACTCATACTAGAAATAAATATCCAGCCTCTCACATTCTGTGATCTCAGCAGTGGCCCAACTATCGGATATGCAGGCAGAGCCAGTGCACCACGCTCACAGATCAGAGACATTCCATGGCAGGTAATGAAGAGAGGACTAGGTGATGGGGATCGAGATACATTGCATCCTTTGTGACAAAGCCATGCCGGCTGTGCTACACCGGTGATTCTTTTTTTAACTTTTTCATCAAATATATATATATATTTGGTAGGCATTACTGTCACCACATACTAATTCCAGATGAAACTCTGTAGTTATCTAGTGTCTTTAGGTGAGGCTGAAGTCCAGTGCATATAATGAAAAGAAGCTTGAAGCAAGTAGTCAAGAATAAAATTAATATGAATGTCACAAATTGATGATACAGCATTGGTAAATTGTCAAGTGTGCAATTGGAATACAGAAAGAAAGAATTGCAATGTTAAGTGTCATGGATGCCTTTCCAACTAGTGAAGAAAGCAGCACTGTTACCTGGACAAATGATGTATTTTTATAATCATTCACAAAGATTTAGACTGCATAAACTCTCCTGGTGTGTCAGTGCATGTAACACATCAAATGGTAGAATATCAGCACAAATTAAAACACAAAAATTACAACACTGTCTTCTACAGCTACCTCAGGCAGCACATGCTATGTAAGGCAGATGAGAGCAACCCACTTGGATTCCCAAAAATGACTGAACTGAACACAGACTAGACAAGTATACATTTTAGGAGACATTTTTGAGTGTATGCTGGAAGAAACAGGCATATGCACCAAAATAAGGAGGATGCCAATGTAAAATAGAGGAAGCTTGTGATACAACAGCTGTGATACTAGCTGGAAGCATGGGCACCAAGCACATAAACACCTGTTTATGTTTCATAAATGGTGTTGAGGCATAGGGTTAAGCGGTGACGTGAAGCTCTTCAAAAGGATACATTCTAGGTTCAAAGCTCTGCAAGCAGTTCTGAGCTGCCAATACCACGTAACTTCTTTTTCTCTGTAACATGCAGTTCTTCCTCTGAGTGAGAAGTGCCTCTGTGCTCCTCTGGGGTTGGAACATCAGTTCCCTTGAACACAGCAGGCATTCAACCTGAGGCTGACCTGGTTCAGGCACTAAGCCATGTAGCTTTAAGTATACATGCTTGCATTGCATAAAGAAGGATTTATGAATCTCTAGTAAGGGCAGATAGTTGTCATTTGAAAATAAGAGAAAATGCATTAACAGAAATTCAATTTATTTTTTTTTAAAAAAGGAGACATACCTAGTCAATTTTAAGAGAATTCATGAGTTAAAATATAAGGGCTTTAGTTAGGAAATAATTGCACGCTTCTGACCTGAGGCAACAGTCAGAGTTTGCCGAAAAAAAAAATGGCACATGCCATTAAATTTAATAATACTTAATTATAGAATCATAAATATTTGAGATTGGAAAGGCCCAGCAAGTCATTTAAGTCTCCCTTCTTATCAGTGAAGGACTGTTCCCTATTGCACATATGCTGGTGTGTTTTCCACAGACTATTAGAATTCATTGTCAGGAGGATTTGCCTTAAATTCTGCCTCAATTTTCCATTTCTTAATTTTATCCCATTACTCCCTGATATACCTGCTTGTTTCATGCTAAGTAATTCCTTTCCCTCCCTAGTGTTTATGCCAGTCAAATATTTGTAGATGGTTAGCATGCCTCTCCTTAGTTATCGCTTAGCCAAACTATACATATTTATTTAGTTCTTTTAATCTTCCTCATAGGTAAATCCCTCCAGCCCCTTAATTATTTTGTTGCTCTTTTCTGAACTCTCTCTGTTTTCAAATCTTTCACGTGGTCATATTGAACACAGTTTCCCAGTTCTTTTCAGCCAGAGCCACAGAAAAATCAGGGGGAATACTGCATCTCTGCTGCAATGTGATGTGTTTTTGTGTCTAACCCAGTATAATTTTATTTTTTTTTTCCCGCCCTACCATGCTGAGGACCATGCAAGGCTGGAGAGAGGTCACGGCAATCTTTGTTTTTAAAATTCTGCCCTGAAGCTATCCCTCACAGCGCTGTCAGCAGGGAAGACATTTCTTCTTCTAAAACCTTACCTCTGATAGTTTTCCCATCTAAAGATGTAACTTGAGCCTTCTTCTGCATTGGGCAATGACTTCACTTCTCCCTCTTTCTGTTCTTCTTTACTGTCCTCTGCCCTGTGTGTTTCAGAGGAGATCAGTGAGGCTGGAAGAACTGACAGAACAAGAACAAAAAATGTAACTGACTGCCACAGCAGGAAAAAACTTCATCTCCTGGGTTTATCATCTCAGAGATTAGTAGCCCAGGATGAGGAAAAGGCTTCAGGGAGACACTGTGAAGAAAAATACAAGAAGAGTAAAGTGGGGAGACAAAGCAGGATGAAGATATCTTTACAGGGCAAGCTGATAGTGGAGATAAAAACTGGGAAGAAGTTCCATGTGTTTTCTCAGCCAGACCCTAGCAACAGAGTCTGTCTTGAATAATTGGTAGTATAGTGATTGCAGTGACAGTTTGTCCTGACATCTCCATTTACAGTGAAACACTTTCTTCTTCCTCAGCCCTTAGTTCAATGGGGTTGAAGGATGGGCACCCCAAGCAGACTAACTTTGTTTTCCTGGCAGGGTTACTGCCCTCACCACAACATCCCTTAGAGGGCAGGTTCAATCTCTTAAGTACCGTGGGTGATCACCATGTTAGAAGTCATTCTAAAAACACATTGCAGAAAAGCTGGGAGGTTTATGATAATCTAGTTGATGCCCTGGGTTAGGAAGAGAGAAGTCAACAGCAACCTGTTCACTTGTGACTTTACCTGATTAAATGGAACAAAAATATTGTCCAGGAAATACTAGATTCAAATAATATCTATCAGTTGTATCAGTGTCCAAACTAAGGGGACCAAACTAAGACTTCATAATGTTTGCTTTATCCTTAGCATTTTCACATTTTGTTTCCTCTTCTATAACATTTCAATTGACCAAGCTGTACAGGAATGCAAAAAATAAATGTAAAAATCTGTAAGTATAGTTATATATGTAAATATTCCATTACAGGCCTTAGTGTCTACTTAAAATCAGGGCAACCTAATTTCTTCTACCTTTCTCAAAGTCCTTAGCTGCTTTTTTGTTTGTTTGTTTGTTTGTTTGTTTGTTGCTTGTTTTTGTTGGTAGTGGTGTTCTTTTTGGTGGTGGTGGTAAGTTTGTTTTTTTGTTTTGTTTTTTTTTTGTTGTTGTTGTTTTTTTTTTCGTTTGATTGATTTGTTAGTTTTGATATGCTTGATTGGTTATTTTTTATTTCTGAAAATAAACTAAGGGTAGCTTGGAGAGGGAAGTCAAGTTTTAGCACTATAGTGTTCTAGCTTTGTAGGGTATTTAGATACCTAATTGCTAACTTGGCAGACATTAGGTTGTGTTTTAATTCATTTTTAACATGTATTTATTTATATGACAGTTGCCACAATATTTATTAAAAGTAATAGACAAAATATTTTTTTTCATATTCATATACCTACCAAGTATCTTTCTTGTATAATCACATCTGATTGTTAAGTCATATTATCAGAGCTACTGTTTGAAATCTATCTATGGGAAGAAATTTACCCTGTGAAATCTATTTCAAACAATGAGATGACAAACATGAATAAGAAATGTTTCCTTGTTTAATACCAGCAAATATTTTCCAGTCTAGCCATCAATTTTGTGCACTTCCAGCCATACACAAAAGAGTGCCTGTGTGCATGGTTGGATGAATAAGTAGTACCTGAAGCTGACAGGACTCATGGAAGCCATCACCTGTATGTGAAAGTCATGGTGCTTAAGGAACTCTCAGAAAGAACCTTCTGCACTTGCAGATATGCAAGAACATAACAGTCACTAAGGCAGGAACAAAGGTACGGAGGGCAGGGAGCTAAGATGACAGTCTTGCAGTGTGGGTTTGGCACTGGTTATCTGATGTCCTAGGAGTATTCTCCTTGTTTGTTTTTGTTTGTTTGTTTGTTTGGTGGGGTAGTTTGTTTGTTTTTGGTTGGTTGGATGGTTTTGGTTTTTTTTTGGGAGGAGAAGGATGTGGGGAGGGGAGTGTTCCAAGAACTGAGAAATTGAGATAAAGTTGAAAACTGAAGTCCTTGGGTAAATTCAGATGACAGAATCTGAAAGCTTTTGCCTTTTAGTAACTTATCTAACATGTCAGGCAGCCAACATAATACAGAAGGAAGGGTGTTTATGCAGCATTTTTCCCAACCTACACAATTTTTTTCAGCCTATGTAGGAAAAGCTACAACAATCTTAGTTGTGCCCTCCTCCCCCCCTCCCTCCGCCCCATCCCCTTAAAAAAAGAGACTTTTTTTTTGAAAAATTATGCAAAATATGTGGATACTACATTCCAGCTTTGGAATCTCCTTATTTTATATTTTTGTTTTGGTGGCTCAGAAAATGAAGGCTATCAGCTCTTGGATTATGTAAACTGACATGGTACATTTTATTTCATTTTCTTCAGAGTGCATGCATCAACTTATCCATAAAGTATTGATTGCAGGGGGCTGAAGCTGTCTGCACAGTGCTGGCTGATTTTATAAGAGATTTTAGTCTCAATTCTGCCACAAAAGCAAGGTGTAGCTGTTATTTATAATAGAAAGCATGTGGTGCCAAAGACATGCAGGTGTCTGTGTGAGAGTGGCTTGCACACTAATGACCAAGTTTATATTTTTAAGCACAGTATAGCATATGTAAAAATGTGATGAAGTCATTGCACTTGAGTCATTTCTGTAGGGCAAATCCTTCTTTTCCCTGCTACAAAACAAACACATTTTACTCCCTCTTTTCCACACATCTATACCTACAAGGGTTTCCCAGGCGGAAGCATGTATGTATGTGCCAAGCACTTGTTTGATGCACAAGCAGTGAAGATAGTGTTTTGTGAATGTATCACACACCAAGTTAATTCTCAGTCGGTCTGGCAAACACATCCTGAAAGTATTAAAGCTGTGCTTTCTCTGAGCACAGCTACCTGGCACAGCTATTGAAACTCTTGAACATCTCAGTGAACACCTGGGTCATGGCCAAAGCCAAGACATGATGTGTCTGAGAGGCACTGTCAGGTGGCAGAGCCTTCGTGCAACTAAACATCTCTGAGGTCTGCGAAAACTGGTGATGTGTTCCACACAAGTTTGGCATAACTTCCTCCCACAAATGACTGTTTCAAGGAAATCTACAAAATACTTGTATTTTTGACATGGGAGCAGCCAATGGGTTGCATGTTCTCCCAGAGCGATGCGACTGCTGCATCTCCTCCCTTCTTCCTCTTAGTCATGTCCTCAGGGAGAGAGCAGTGCCTGGCAGGCATTACTGGCTCTGGCTCTTTGCTTAGAGTCCCTGACTGTGTCTGTTTCTTGTGTATAAATATATAGGAGTATGCTCTTATTTTGGGGCATTTCTCCATGCTAGTGATGGTAGGGTGCCTGCGGGCTGTTCTCACATCACTCCCTGCACAATGGATGTGCACACTACAGCCTGGAAATTCTTCAGTTGGAAAGCTTGCCAATTCCTCAAATAATTTTTTTAGCCTTCTCTGGACATCATCACAACCTGTGTGCATTCAGGACAGGTCAGAGATTTTACTACCATGCCATCATATGATTTTGCTTGACCTACAGAAGTTTTAAGCATTTGCCAAGTTTCATAATACTTAAAGAGATAAATGCTTAAAGAGTTACAAAACGGACATCATTGCTGGTTGGATTTTATTTTCTTTATCCAGCAGTTGCTGCAGTCTTGCTTTTCTGAGCTGACTGTATTGACAATGCCTCCCTCTACTGGACAAACCCGACTGTTACGAGACACACCAAGAATATTTATTTGACTGACCCAGATTTGAAGCACTGCAGAATAAAAATGTACAGTTTATGTTAGTCCTGACTGATGACTTGGATTAATAAACTGGTTATGTAGCAATGTATCTACAGTTTTCTCTGTATCTATGTGGTGTTTTTCTGTCCTTTATGTCTTGCATTTTAATTATGCAAAGCATACAAAAATTTTCTGCCTCTTCATTACCCATTTGCTACATTTTTATAAAAGAACATTTCAAAACTATAGGGGTGTAGGTGATCAATACAACTCAAATATTCATTATTAAGCATATATTTTAAAATGTTAGTAATACTATGTTGCATCAGCTTCTTGTGCTCTTATTTTCAGGAAATAACATTTGGACCAAGGAAGACCAAATCAGTCACTTTTCTCAGACTTTGTAGCCCATCTGCCCTACACTGTAGATCCCTGGAGATGTCATTACTGAAGTGATGAAACATCTTGGTTTAAGAGCTCCTGGTCTCTGCAGAGAGCAAGGGGATGAGAATTAACTATGCATCTTATGCATGATAGTGCATAACAGCATCAATAACAGCTCTTCTCCTTAATTTTTGCTTTTAGATGCATGAGGTCTAGAGGAATATGTGCCAGGCAAGAACTCAGGAATTTATTTATTTTTTTATATATATATATTTTTTTCCTGCTTTGTCCTGACTGGTATTGCTGAAATTCATTGTACTTCTGGATGGAAAACAGACATAAAACTTGTTCTTACCTTTGAGCTGTTTTTCTGATTGACTACCACCCAGGTATTTCTCTGATTATGAACATGCTATATGGGAAGGAATATCTATGTTTATAATGGGACTTGGCTAAGATGAGCTGTCTAGAGAGACTTAACCTCTCCAGTAAAGTCATGGGTGGTTTGGCAGTGATCTTGGTGTGAAAATTATTTTATTATTTATGTTACTTCTTCCCTACAAAAGTTTATACTTTTTGTTTTAACGTATGTGCTGTGGTACATCAAACATGCCCATGCTAACTCTCAATGTGTTCTATGATTTGTGTTTTTTTGTTTGGATAACACATTAAAAAACTGAACAATCCTCTGATAGCAAGGTAAGCTTTGTATTAAGGTTTTCAGTAATATACAGCAGCTCTCCTTATGCTTAAAACACAGCTACAGTAGGTTGAATTATTGTCCCTGTGCAGTTTTCATAGTTATTACTTGGTAGGTTGCCTCTTCAGTGTCAAATTAGAAGTCATTCGGCTAGAACTGTTTCAGTGATACCTCTTGAGGTTTGTAGGTCCACATACTTGAAGTATATTACATACTTTTCTGAACAGTTGTGCTTTCACAGGGGTCTGTATTAGAACAGCATGAAATCTGCTGCTGTTTACCTAGGTTTCATCTAAACCTCGATGGTGGGTTCACTTTATGCGATGTCAGCAGCACTGAGAGTCAAACTGTTTCAGGCAAACTTGAAATTCAAAAGAAAACTTGAACTCAACCTCCTGAATTCCTTCCAGTGTCTTTTTCCTTTCCCTTCCTTTATTCAAGGGCAAATTTGCATTTAGTGTTCTGATTTGTGAACAACACAGTGCCTTTTTCTGCTTTTGAAGAACTATTTTATATCTCAGTTTTGCTTTCCCTTGTGCTCTACCTTGCATACGTTCATGTTGCAAACTGGCTGTGGTATGCAGAAAGCAGGATGTGAAGCAAGTATAGATTTTCTTCACTTTTTTTTGTTTGTTTGTTTTGTTTTGTTTTGTTTAGGGACCTGGAGGATGAAGTTCCTGTGTTGAGGTGCTTGCTTAAATACTGCTTTCAGAGATCATTAAAAAAAAAATGGGCAGAGGAAGCAGAGGAACACATTTAAGAATCCAAGTGAAGGTGGAGAGAATCTTAGGAAATAAATGAAGGAATGCTTACAGGTTAAAAATTAAATAAAAATGAGCCTTACACTGGTTGTAAATATATTATGATATATTTCTGTAATAAAAATTTGTTCTGGTTGGTGAAGCAGTGAAGTACTGTGGTTATCACTTCACTGTTAAGGAACATATAGCTCAAATACTTGAAATGAAGATGGGGAGGGGTATCTAACCAGCTTAAGTTTGTGTAGAAACATGGTAAAAGGGCTAGACATCAAATTAAAAAAAAAAAAAAAAAAAGTGAAATTCAGAAAAATAATGTTGAGTTTTCTTTTCTTTAAATGCTCCCTCTCACTTGTTTTCTTTTTGTTTAGTCTCACACCTTTTCTTTAAAGAGCTGATCTTTTAATAAATAATACCAGCAGATATTAATGCCATAGATATTAATGCCAAAGTTCCAGTATTCCCATAGGATTATTAATCTTAGAAATAAAAGAACAGATGACACTAAAACTACACTAAAACTGACACTAAAAAAAAACCTGACACTAAAAAAAAAAAAAAAAAAAAGGAAGGTAACATTTAAAACACAGACTGATTTTTAAGTAATATTAATAAATATGAGTATTTTATATCTATTCTATATTCTATAGTGAATGTTAACACGGAGTCTCCAGGGAACCTCTTGAAAATTAAAATTTAAAATAAAAAGCTGTGATTGAAATTCTGTGTATAAAAGAATAAGTTTTGATTACAGTTATTAAAACAGATGTCATGAATCTGAATTGGTCCTTATACAGTTTAATTCCTTGGTCTTTGTGTAAGAAGATAAACCACAATAAAATTTAGTTTGAGCCTTCTTTTTCTGTCCTGGAGAAAAGATGAAAAAAGAAAATTTCCCTCCATTACAGCTTGTATTTGCAAAGCATGACAGAGTAAGTTGGTTTAAAGTGACTAAAATATTTTCCGCTAAAATATTTTCAATATATTTTCATCCACTAAATATTTTCATTATGTTTCATATAACTCTTTACATGAAAGCAGGGCATAGCGCAATAATCAGCAGAATCTCTTTATAACCCCTTTTCTATTAACAGGACAGATGGGCATATGACACGTTCCCTTAATTTGTCAGATGTGAGAGTATATAAAAGCAGGACCTTCTCTAATTCCTTTCCCTACACATCCATATCCATATGTATATGTGCTTGTATTTTACTTTTAGAAGGTTTTTCTGTGGCTCTGCCCACATTTTTCCTTGCATAAATGACAGTGCACTTGTTTCATTTTCCTGCTAGGAATATTACATCTGGATTAGAAGCATCTGGCCATGGTAGGGATGAAGTTGTTGTGCTGTCTAGATGGCAGCTGTAATGAGTAAGCCTGCTTAATGGTGATGGAAAATCATGGGCCCATTCTTTGAGAGACTCCTTTCAGAGTCACCACACACCAGCGCATCACATCCAGAACACAGCAGATCTGTGGAGCTGTGGAGCAGCACTGATGACAATATTGTTCAATGAGCTGGGCATGGAAAGTTCTTGGTTTCCTCAACTCCAGGTGCAAACTAAACAAGGATAACAAGAGGCTGTAGACTCTCTCAGAATGGTTCTCCCAGAGACTTACTGGGAGAATGTGACTGGGGCTACAGCTCTGAAAGTTGTCTAGAAAAAAAATCATACATCATGTGCGATGCATTAGCACAATTGTCGGATGCTATACCACACATCTCATGCAGGCTTCCTAAGAGGGGAGTCTTGCTTGCATGGGAAGATGCTGGGCAGAGTCTGTTGTAAGATTAATGAGGGTAAATGATGGCTCAACAGAAATGACAATGAGAAATATGAAATCCTCTCCAGGCCTTTACTGTCTGCAGAATGCAACATAAAACCCTCAGCTATATAAGAAACCAAATAAATTCTTTCGAGGTCATTTTATTTTTAAAGATTAACTTGAGATCAGAGACTTGCATCATGCTGTGCTGATTCTACTGCGTTTGCAATATAGTTACTGGTACAGATTTTTAAGGGCTAAATTGTCAAAATAGTTCAGTACTTGTGCGAAATCTAATCATTTTGTACAGATTACAGTACCTCTGTATTTGAAATGGATTTTTAAATTTCAATTGCTGAAACTGCATCTTTAGTTTTTCCTTGATTGTTTGTAGATGTTACAAATGCCTTTGGATCCAGACAGAACGATAATAACTTTGAGCACAGAAATGGACTTGCAGCTGGATTCTCAGGAGAGCTTTCTACACTGGATAATAGCTCACATATTGAAATGTGCTCATCTAAGAGATATTATGGTGGCAGTAATGGGGACTGAGATTTGCCTGCAAAGTGGAGATGAGAAACAGGAACAGGTAGGGAGAATCTAATTTCTCATGGAAGCAGTGGTAAAAATCAAAACCCATTATTTTCATCACTAATTTTAGGCCAGGCTCTGCAACCATTGCTGAAGGTACCCATTACCTTGTTTTCAGTGCAATTCCTTTTATTACAGTAGGTGTTAAAGAAACATGGAAAATTGTCCTTTCTAGGGTAAGCTGCTGCTTAACACAAGTGTTAGATGTGTCTAACCTTTATTGATTCAAACTCTGAGTTCTTTATATGATGTAACTATCCTAACCAGAAATAGCTAATGTGCTGAAAAGCAGTATATTGTATTTGCAAAAAGAACAGCATGAAAGGATCTGTGCTCTGGTGGTGTCTTGTTTTCTTTACTGTTGCTACGGAGCTGAAAGCCCATCTGTCCTCCTTATTATGTTAAATTCGTTCAGGAGTCACTTAACTGAAGTACCCTTAACCTAGTGCTTCCGCAAACTAGTACATCTACAGAGAGAATAGTTATTAAAATAAACATCTCGTTATCAGTATCCTAATGCAGTACCATTGTGAGTAATCAATGAGGTCTCTGGCAATCATGGGAATTATACAATATAATTGAGCTATTTGTAATAAAATCGCTAAAGAGTTGCTGACCTTCCCAGTTAAACATTTTTCTTTCCTTTTTTTTTTTTTTCATACTGCTTGCTGTTTCGCTCTGAATTTTTAACACACTATGTTTTTCTATTTGTCCTAACACAACTTTAGAATATAAATCTATTAAGCTGAGCTCAGGTTTTCAAAAGAAGAAAATTATCAGGGAGTTGCATTACAGAATCATGTTGCATTTCTTAAGCTTTAAAACCGTTGCTCACTCTGGGTAAGAATTTTATGCCATCCTCCAAAAGGAAATAGAACCTGAAAAGATATTACTTTTTTTTTTTTCTTTTTCTTTCTCTGTTGCTTCTACCTCATACTAACACTCTATACTGTGCCCCTTTTGCCTTAGTGTCTTAGCCAGCCATGCAGTAAAGTGGGTTTGAGTCCCCTGCACACCCATTACAGAGAACATGTAAGAATCAAACTAACGTTGAAGCCTCAGCTCTGAGAAAATAAGTATGGGAATAAGAAGCTTCCAGCAGATACAATGAAGGCATACAAATGCCTTTGCTTTGCAAGTATCTGCACCCCTCTCCTTTAGTCCTTGTTTCATGTGCATAAGAAGGCCTGGGAGAAAGCTACTAGTACCTAGCAGAAAGCTCTAGATGACTACCTCATCTGCCTCAGTGCCAAGGCTTCCAGCCTGCCTGAAACTGCAGATGAAGATGGCATTAGAGGGCCTTGCTGATTTAATGCTAAAATGAATGAAAGAACACCCATGTTCTGCTGAGAAGTTTCAAGTATGAGGGTAATGATCTCTAGCAGGTGAATATTGACAATCATCTGGAGCTAGTAAAGTTATTAATCACATCCAAAACAAAGTGTCTACCCACTACCTAACTGGAAAGGGAGGGGATATTTATGCAGCTGTGATTTTGTCCCCAAGACTGGCTGACAGTATGGAATATGGATGCACTAAGTATCTTTGAATTTATCAGAAATATTTTTGTCTCTCCGTAAGATTATTTGGACCCTCAGAGTTAAATTGCTATTAGCAGTAGTGTTCAGGTGTGTACTGGGACAACTGTGTTGCTAGTCCATTAGTATATGAGGGTTTGGATGAGTGCTAAAGGGATTGTGGTAGGTGTTGTAGTTTTAATTATATACCTTACTTTTTCATCTTGTTTTCAAGAGTGTGATAGGCTGGTCCCATTTTCTATGTGGACAAACAGGTTAGGACCCACACACGTCACTAGCATGAAAATTCAAAAAACCTTGTTTAGAAAGCCTGTTCTGTGTCAAGAAAAAAAAAAAAATCCCTCTAGAGAGTAGCAGTTAAAACTTGTTTATTTAACAAGCAGAAGCTGTTCTGTTGACTGACAGTGCTGAGCTGAGAAAGGTACCTGATAATTCAGGTGGGAAGTGGTTGATCTCTGCATGCTCCATAGTCTTTCCAAACAGAGGATGGAGCAACACAGTGTGTCTGTGGGAGGAGGGTGGGAGAGGTAAAATATAACCATGACTGGTATAAAGTTAAAGCGTGACTTAGATTCAGGTCCCTAAACTTGGAACTTCTTCACCCCGGCCTTAGAGATAGAAGGGGATAAACCACATAAAGCAGGAGATGCTATTGAATGTTTGTTATGGAGTTATGATGGAGGAAGGTTCTTGCCAGCTCTTTTTCCTCATTTTAAAAGCTGTACCACTGAGTTTCATCTTACTTAAGCATGAAACAATTACAGAAGGAGGAAGGCAGAAGGAAAGCACCTACATCAGACAGAACGGGAGACGGGGGGGGGGGGGGGGGGGGGGGGGCGGTAAAGTGGGGTGGTGGTATTTTCTGGATTTTGACCACTCTGTGCCTTCCAAATGGTACAGAAGGCTAAAAACAAGCTTGAGCGTCCATGTTACTGTCTGCACCACTGTGATAATGGAAATCCAAAAATGCTTAGAGGAGTAAACAACACTTCAAGTTTCCTGAGGTTATATAAAAGAAATATTTATTCTATTAAAGAAAGAGTATGCAGAGAAATATTAGAGCTAAAAAAAGCATAATGTGTTTTCAATGTGAGGGAGCAGAGCAACACAGTGAGCAACCTTAACAAGGCTGTTTCCAAACTTTTCACTGTCTACCCATGCAGCCTTAACACTCTGTTACCATATTTGTCATGCACACAGTATTATATAGATATATATAATACTGAGTGTCTGGCTAGATATAGATATCTTATTTTTATTGGAATTTTATCCTCAGTCTTCTCTCCGCTTCTCTTTTCACAGTTTTTCTTAGGTAGAATGTGAAACTAATACTTC